TTTTTTTGTTTCCATTGTCATGTTATGTACACTTGAAGCTATTTGCATTTATGTTGTAATATTAGATACTTTGACAAACATATTGGCCCTGTACTGTATTTAATGAATTTTCGTGAGTTTATGTTTAGAGGTGTTTATGCAATTGCAGTGATACTGGTTTGGTTATCGTGTTAATATTATGACAGAAAACTATTGACATAGTAAGTGTACTGATTTTGAAATTGTTTATCGCAGGTACAATCTTCGAACAACACAATTATGACCGAGGAAATCCAGAGTTTCAGAAACAAAAAAAATCACACTTGGACTGCCGAGGAAGATAAGATATTGGTCGAATGTATGACTGAAATTGCACATCTTTGGAGAGGTGAGAACGGGTTCAAACAAGGTTTCTCTAATGCACTTGAGAGGATGATGCATGTGAAGATACATGATTGTTCACTTAAAGAAAAACAGTACAATGCAATTTATGAAATGACCGGAGGTCCTGGTGGAAGTGGGTTCGGATGGAACGACTCGAAGAAAATGATTGACGTCGAGAAGGAAATATTTGATGACTGGGTTAAGGTGAAAGTGCTTGAAGTTATCTGTTTCATTATGCATAGCTTTATAGTTTGTGATGTTTTTGTATTCAGTGTTTAACTTACTGTCTTTATCCACAGTCTCACCCAACTGCAAAAGGCCTTTACAACAAGCCTTTCCCCCACTATGATATTTTGGGAACCATATTTGGCAAGGATGCAGCAACCGGAGGTAATGCAGAGACAATGGGACAAACGGTCAATGTCATGGAGTCAAATACGGGATGCAATGCAGAGAGTGTGAATGTATTTGACGATGATCTAGACCTCACGGGGGACTACATACCCACACCATTACCAGATCCAATGATACCAGAAGTCCCAATTGAAGAAATTGTGCCGCCCTCAGATGTGTCTACTGCTACTGCCAAAAAGGGAAAGAAACGTGACAGACCCGAAGATCCATTGGTTGCTCCAATAGTTGAAGTTATGAAAGATATAAATCAAAACTACCGTGAAGGTATTGACAAGCTGGTTTCATGCTTTCAGCATCAAGCTCATGGGAGTAAAAGACGGATGTCACTTATGGAAGAGCTGGAAAAAATTGGAGATCTGACTGATTCACAGATGGTTAAACTTGCGGTGCAGTTGGCAAATAATACAACTTTAACAGATGTCTTCATGCAATGCAATGATCAGCAAAGGAAGTGTCTCCTGGCTGACTTGCTCAGTAATTCACTATAGACTGATATGATAGTTTTTTGATGCGTCTTTTGTATATAGCGCATGGCTTGGTTATGTTATTTTTTGGCGTGGACAGGTTTAGACTTGGTAAAGTGATAATAGTTTTGGATAGCCCTAATGAAGGACATTCAATGATGGACTCAGATTCAACATGACATTGGTAATGTTTTTTTGGATGTGGATCCAGTGTCATGTATGCAATTTGAAATTTTTCAAGTCATTAGCTCATCTGGTGGTAAAAGCTTAACTTCAGAGGATGTTTGTACTAAGGATCCCAATAACTGATATCCCTCCATTGTCATATGTTCCTGTTACCTACCTATGCAATGCAATCAGTTTTTGGTTCCAATTAGATGCTACTGCAACAGGTATGTAATACACATATATATTTTTTTATAATTATTCAATGTTATTACCTTACTGCTGATGTTTGCATTATATGAAAACAGGTTAAACTCCTATTACAGGTCTGAAATTGCTTCAGTTTCATTATTGAACCTTGCTGTGATGTCCAATTGAAGCTGTTTTGTCAAATACTAGATATAGAACATGATGTTGATCTGAAGCACATATAAATACAGACCGTGGACTAAAGGAAACAAAGCAGAGAGATGTTGTTATTTAATGTTGTTATTTAATGTTAACTTCCAGTTATTGGACATAAGGACATATTTGTATAAACCAATATAAGGACCCTGTAGATGGTTATAAAGCTACTTATCTCGTTATTGATATGAGCTGTGTTAATTAACCTGTTTTCTTGGACACTTATATTATGACTTAAGTATTGATTATAAGAAAAGGATCCAATTATAGCAGATCCACTAATTGCAGCCTTGCTCTATGGATACTTCTGTCGACACAATTAATAAGTGCAATGCAGATCCACTGCTTTTTATGTCAATTTTTATTAATCTATATTGGACTGCAAGAGTCACCTGATGGGGAGTACAAAATTGAATGGAAAAGATTGACTGAATTAGAAAATTGAATTAATAACAAAAGATTGACTGAATCAAATAGCTTATATTAATATTGATGAAATCTCTGTACACACTGCACTAGTATCCCCTTACAAACAGTATGCCATGAACACTATTTACATATCTGAATTACAATGGAAAATAATAACAGAAATACAATAATAAGAAAAAACATGGAAACAACCCCTTCACCCAACTACATTATATGTCCACCAAGCCTCAGCAGCAAGACTTTCAGCTACCCAGACACCAGAAAGCAGAATACCCAAACAACTTCACTGCATTGCCTTGAGTCTGGCTAATAAAAGGTCCAATAATGCAGCAGCACGCCTTCAGCTACCCTCTGCAGAACTAGTCCCTGCCCTGGTTGACAATTCCTACTTCCACTTTGCTCTGTATTATTCCCTTGTGTCATCAAAGATGCATCACATCCCTGCATATTTAATTACGAGCAATTACATCAAGCCAATTCATTGTAAGCCATACTAAAATTGAAAAAATGAGTAGAGTGCACAATGTTGATTCCATCACAATTGCATTCTACCTATGACCTCATCTCAACTTCAAGTCCACATATATTTTCCACCGTGTGGACCTTTTATATCTGTTGAATGTTTAATCTTCAGTGTTTAACCAGGAACAACTACATGAGTCCCTTAGGAAAGGTCATTTCACAATTGCACAACAAAGTTTGACTCGGAACAGATGTTTGGTGAATCCTAGATTCTTGAATTTGAAGCTTTTGAGTAGGATGAAAATAAGAGTGATCTGATCTTTCCTCAATAAAACTTGGCTGCATTTGTTTTCCACAAAGTTAGCACTTGTAGCCATGATATGCAACATTGTCTTTTCCTGACAAAGAGAGTTGAGTCTCTCATCCTCCAAGAGTCTCTCAACCAGAACATTGCTTTTGTGTCAGAGTGCTATTTGTGCCTGATCCTGTGCCAAGGCATGTTGTTGATGTGATGCCAAATGATATTGGTAATATATTGTCAAATTACCCTATGCAGAACTTGTACCAGAAATGATAAAATACAAGTCCTACAATGAAACATGAAAAAAATCAGCATATATCATAATATGATGACATGATAAAAACTATTTACAAAGTTAAAATAGAGTTGTTAACTAGAAAAATCATTCAAACTAAGAAATAGAACTTAAAGGGTAGCATAGTGAGGTAGTCTAACCTTTAGTAGTGACAAGTAACTTTTCCTTGCTTAAGAACAAAAGCTATTCCCTGATACCATGAACCAACTTACCGAGGCAGCAAAAGAACACAAAATATTAGCAGTCCAATCAATGTTGCTAAGATCAAGTATCACTGCACTCTGGGCTCTAGCCCACAGTTACCTACGGGATCTGTGGAAACTTTTCCTTCTTGCATAGGGCCTTTTGGACAAACCAGTAATTTTCTTTTCACAAAATAATCATGAATACAAACTTCAAGCCTGAAGCATAACTTCAGAAAACCAAGAAGCCAATAAACACAAATATAACAGGTATGACACTGTAAATTACTGTCTGTCCACACTAACAGGTGCTTGTCCACAGTAACTGAATGATTCATGATGTATAGAGAAAACCCAACATATAGAAGACACATATAACAAATCAAACAGAGTCATTGACATTAATAACTGACATCCTAAACTAACAAACAAACATCATAGACAATTGTTATGTCATACACACAAAAAAGTACATATAAGTCCCACAAGATGAAATGCTACATCAAGCTAATTAACACGTTCATGGTTACCCTGAATTACATGTTCACACAACATAAGTACTAAATATACACAACAACACAAACCCTACACCATTACAATAGAAGTCAACGGAATATCAACATACAGGTCATGATGATCCCAAATGTTATAACAATTACAATTATTTGATGACTCTGTTGTTTCATCATTTTCTCCAACTTCGCGCAATTACGGCAACTCGGTTCTTCAAACCACTCAAAAAAATGGCAATCTCGCTGTGTTCTGGAATTAGGACATCGGAGAAATTGTCGGTCCGGATTCCTTTGTGTATGTGACATTCGCAACAAAGCCGGCACTCCGCAATAGCACAGCTTCACCGCGGAAGAGGATAAGGATGAATAATGCCTTGAATTGACGCTATCACCTACACCTATGCCAGACCCACATCCACCTATGCTTGCTTCAGTCTGTGCTACTGTGCTCTTTCACAGACTCCTCCCACGTGTCACTGCCTATTTTGGTTACTGCCATAAGAAGAAGGACACAAATCGACACTTAAGTTACACTTTTACGCAACAACTTATACACATGCTTATATAGTAAAATCCAAAACTGTTTCAACAAATATTTTACAAAAATGTATGCTCTTTCAATGACTGGTTTATAACAAGGTACAGTAATAAATTTAAATTTCATTATTAGTAAAATGGATATAAAATTAACTTCTGATATGAGCTGCTTTCAACAAGAAAACTATATAAACAAAATTATACAAGCAAGCAATTTTCCTGAATAAAACAAATTCACCACTACAGAATACATGTCAAGGTCAGCATGGGAAGGCGTATCATATAAAGGTTTGTATTCTAAATAGGATCAGATAGAACCAATCAAGGATTTTAAAGGCAATAGGATATTGGTATTTATACAATCACATCCCAATATCTTTCCAGTTCATTTCCTCATAATGGCTATTGATCAGAAATTATCCTGCATACAATAAATCAGAAAAATGAAGAGTAAATTTGCAAAAATAGTAGAAGGGAAACATTAGTATCTACAACTTGCAGGATTTTACAATTAAATAAGAGGAAAATAATCATACCTGCTACACATAGATTAAGAAGAAAAATAATGGATCCACAAAAATTACCAACAACCAAAAAATGGCCAATAACTTGTTCGATTGTTGTACCAATTTAGTCTGAGGGTTCATAACTCCAGGAACAAATGAAGAGCAGATAGAAAAAATATAATGAAGAGTTGTCTCGACTCTCCACTTCTAATTTCTAAGAGCTTACCTAGGTTCATCGTACACTATAAAATTCCAGACCGAAATCATAGCAAGCCAAAATCCTATCCAAGTTAAGCATCAAATGGGCATAACCAAAGCAAAGGACAATAAGGACTCTAATTAAAAAAAGGTTCTTAACATGTGGGATACTAAAATCAAAAATTTCGAGAAATAGTGGAGAAAGAATTGGAAATATGTATTCAAAATGAAAGTAAAAAAGGAAGAATCAATAACTCAAAGCAGGGAATTTTTTTTTACCTGTACATACAAGGATTAACACGCTTTATGGTTGCTTATGGTGCCAGCCTCCAGGTCGAACCCTAATGTCCCCAAATCGTCTGCAATGCAGAACACTTCCCTAATGTCAATGCTTTGTTTGTGCCTGTTGACTCAGAGTTCACACCACTGCCTCACCGTGCTGGAGTTATTGTTGGCGATACGAGAAACGACAGCCGGAGAGAGACACAGCGATAAGGAAACCAAATTTTGACGTTAGGGGGGGTGTAACAGCCCGTTACGTACCGGTATTGTTAACATTAATTATGATATTAAGCGCAGTTACAATCACAGCAGTTCATTTATAAAACGCGAATAAATTTTTTTCCGATTATTACGCGAGCATTTAAAACATAAAAAGGCGTAATAATTAAAAGCTGTGACCGTAACCGTAAACTCTTGCGGAAGACTTATTTAAACTATTTTTATCACTTACGTTACTTATTATAAGTTACTAAGGAGTTCCCATAAACTCACTTAGCCAATTTCCAACTTTACGTTTTTTACCAATTCGAACATGTTTCACTCTAAGTTTTTCTGCGACCAAACCGATCGCAACCAACCCTTCTTCTCAGATTATATCTTTGTGTTACTTAATTCCCTTTTTAACAAGCTAACATACGCTCAATTCGGAGCTCATTTGCTCCGGTTATCGCCGTTTGAAGTTGGATAAGCAATTAGCCCAAACAACCCCAAAAACAGCTCCAAACCACTCACATTGCTCGAATTACTTCA